TAAAATAATGCCTTTTCTAAATATATGGAAAAATGAATCCGTTTTCAAAAACCAACTGAAAAAAAGGGGGCAAGTAGATTTTGGCATACATTTATATAGTTGGCACCTCCCAAATAAATTTGTTTTCCAAAGAGTCTTTCGGCTTACTTACACATTTAATAAAAGCATACAGGGAATAACTATGATTTGTTCAGCATGCGAGCTTGCTGAATGGGGTAAACATCTAACCATTTATTTATTGAGACCCCTTTTTTGATAGATCTAATAAATTGAGAACACATTATTGGTAGAACCTTATCTCTACCACACAGGAAATTTATTTCTAAGCTGTCTGTTTTTCATCAAGTTAAAATTAGTTCCATGGGAACTCACAAATTTTTATGTAATTAGATAATGGAATTTGTCAATGTTTCTTTTAACTATGTTAGTAGCATAATCATAATAACTACATTGGGAAAATGCAGTGGGTTTTTTTGAGCGAAAAGATGCATTAATGCGGAACAGTCCCTACTGAGTTATGTCTGAATGATTTTGAAAGTTTTACTCTGAGTTTTTGTTTAGCTCTGCTTAAGGATAAGCCACAAATGGCTCTTGAATTATTTTGTGTCAATTATTTCTACCGCTTACTGGTAAACATGTTTAGATCATGTTTGGATACTGTATGACCTGATGTTTGACAAGAAATATTACAAAGACTTTTAAAGGAATATGAACACCATCTGTGTGAAGGGAAGGATCTTATAACCATATCCACCTCCAGTGCTTCAAATTCCAATTATGTCGTGATGTGGGGAGATTTTATGGTTTTCAAATTGACTAATATGTAAAATAAAATATGCTCTGATCAGACTTTTAACCAAGAAATTAATTTAATGAAAGTCCAATGTTTCGGAACTGAATAATCCCTTAAAATGTCAAGCAAAAGTGACATGGTGTCACTTGAGAGATAATATTATTTCATCTGTATATTGTGCTAGTCAAATTACTTTCAAATGTATAGATCATGCATAGGCAACCTACAGCACTCCAGATGTTTTGGACTACACCTCCCATGATGCTTGGCCAGCATTATGGGTGTAAGAGCATTATGGGAGATGTAGTCCAACACATCTGGAGTGCTGAAGGTTGCCTATCCCTGGTATAGATTAAATTTTCTTTGCTATTTTTTAGGAGGGAGATAAAAAAAAAAGTCTTTGTGCATGTATTTGTGGGTTACCTAATAACGTGTCTTGGTTTTCAGGTATGTGTATAGATATCCACTGTCTCATTGAATACAGTGGCTGTTTCCGAGGAGTTGAATGTGGTTGAATATAACTGCCTATGAAAAAAGTTTGTAAGTCAGCAATTCACTAAATGTATACTAGGTGCATTGTAACTAACTCACACTACATTCATTAGTTCAAATTGGGTACGGCTTGAAAAATAGTTAAAATCTTCTACTAGAGTAAATTGATGATTTACTAAGCACCAGCTTATAATTGGCAATGGATACTGAGCCAGGTTGGCTTTTTAATTCAAGAAATTCAAGTAGAATGCTTTTGATGCCTCATCTTGGAAACATGTCCATCTGGCAGCATTGAACTGCCAAAGGGCAATCAGTTAAAATAAGGGTTTAAACGATGAAATAAATTCCATTAAAAAAGCTTAAAATACTGAGAGATTAACTTCATCCAACCAGGGATGAATGAAGGTGTCATGGCCCTTGACTGCTGCCCAACCAACAGGATGCTAGCAGGTATCATGACCAAGCCTGCAACATGGGACAAGTTGGAACATTTATTGAGTTATTTGTTTGGATTGTATGTTTTTTTGAATGTAAGTATGTGTGTGTGTGTGTGTGTGGATGCAGTATGTGTGTGAATTTGTGGAGTGGTATAGAGGCTGTCTTTTGCAGGGGTGAGAGAGGAGAAGGTTTTTTTGTTACACCATGTATTTACTTTGTTTTATTAAAGGAACACTATAGTCACCCAGACCACTTCAGCTCATTAAGGTGGTCTGGGTGCAGTTTCCAGTCCCACTTAGTCTTGCACTGTAAAATGTAAAACATTGCAGTTTTTGAGAAACTGCAATGATTACATTGAAGGCCTAAGACTGCCTCTAGTGGCATTCAATCAGACAGCCACTAGAGACACTTACTGGTGGCTGATCAACTTTTGGTCATCTAACTGACGCTGGACGTCCTCACACTCTGTGTAATTTAAAATTCCTCAGGGGAGGGCTTAATGCACTCGCACCTTGCAGCGCATGTGCATTAGTTCCCCTGTCGGATGACATCAGAGGAAGCGGAGCCCCGAGGAAAATTGTGGCTGGAATTAGGTAAGTGTTTAAAAAAGCTTTTAACTCTTTACCTGCCGGGAGGTGTAGGGCGCTAATGAGAGAGGGACCATAGGTCTCTATAATGTAAGGACAATGTCCTTACACACTTCCTTACACTATATAGTCCATTTAATGGTTACTACTCACTCTCTGCTCCTTACCTCTGGCTAGGGAGTGAGGACATGACATTCTCTAGTAGTCTGGAGGTACTTAGTACAGGTTCTTTTCATGTGCCCTGGCACTATGGGGTGTTAGAGCATTGTTGTGGTAATCTGAGACAATGATATAAGAGAGGGGGACAGAGCCAGACTAAGCTGAATGATGAGAATCTATCAGATTCCCCTAGCTATATAAGCCTGTAATGACACAGGAACCTGTATATTTCTTGTCTCTGTTAATTTTAGTATGTCAATTACTTGTCAAATATCCCCATTCTATAATGTAAAGCACTGCAGAAAATGCTGTCCTATATAAATTCAACATTTATGTTACCCTATAAATAAATCCATCCTGGTAATAATAACAGGAATATATGTAGGTCTAGACCCTCAGTTGCATTTTGTAGATGAATGATTGCATTGGCACTTGTAAGCATACCTGCTCCACAAGCTAAACCTCACCCAACCTCAGAAAGGACCATTGAAAGGTAAGACCTGATAGCTAGGAATTCGCTGTAGAAATGGCCCCCTATCTCAGTGCCAAGGAGATGGAGGGTAGAACGTGAAAGCCACACAAACCGAGAGCAGGTATTAACCTGCACCAAACCACCCAAATAATATTGTAATATAGGTGGATATTACATCCGTTGGAAAGAATCTTCAAAAAGTCCTGTATTGGGTGAGTATCTCATCTTGTTATTTCTGTATGCTTGCTGAGAATGATGAGAGTTGCAGTCTAGGGTGGTTGAAGTGGTATGTGCTCTTAATTCTTGCATCGTATAGTGGTAACGACAATGACTGGCCTTTGAGAACCTGATTTTCTAGCATTGTCATTGTCCTTGCATGAAAGAATAGCCGCGCTATCTTTAAACACATTTACACTACAGTCGTTCTTTATTCTCTTTAGATATGGAAGCCTGTGACTGGCTTGTGTAGAATGCATTCCAGCACAGAGGGAGTTCGCTGCAGTAAGCTTGTTAGAGTAGATAATTCTTACAGCAACATGTAGCAATTGTAACTGAGTTCTTTGCTTCCAAATTCATTTGTTGCCTACTATTGCAAAACACCCGCAATGAATAACAATCGGGAACTGTGCACAATGATTGCTGAAACTATTTCATCATATTGTTAATAACTTGTATGGCTGATTCCTGTATGACAAAAAAATAAAAATAAAATAAATGCTTTGCTGTCAGTGTCATGCCAGGCTGCCTAAAGATTCTTTACATTTTTAAAACCCAAGTGGAAAACTTAGTTTTTGAATGAGTGGAGTTTTGTGTTCTGCCAAGTCACTTCTCGTGTGGACATATATCAGCAATGGCACAGACAGAAACTGCATCAGGGGAAATCTAATTTGGGAGGCTGCAAATGCCTCAAAGTCGTTGCCCCCTGGCTCACCTCCAGTAATCCACTAAAAATCAGAGCTAGTAAGACTCACATATGAACAGTGAAATATTGTGTGAGTAGCATGGAATGTAACATTTGTTGTGAAGGTTTAATAAATGATTTAAAAACATCTGCAGATGTTCTAAATCTATCCTTTTTTTCCCTGTGTCCCTTCTCTGTGCAACTGCATTGGCGTTATAGTGTTGGCACAGCTACTGACATTTCTCTGCAGAATACATAGTAAATGGCAAAGATGGTTTAATATATTGGATGCATTTGTCCCCCCGGACAATCTACAGTCCTAATATGGGGTAGAATAAAGTTTTTAGAATTCACATACAGTGCCTAACTGTAAAGTAAGGATGCTTTTATTTGATTTTTGTTTTGTTTTTTTTATATATTTTTTTTATTCTGACATTTTGGACTTCCTGACTTCATATGATATGTGATAGTGAATGCTGTTACCTATAATGGTTGGAGTAACTAGGAGTCTAATTTTTATGTATAAGATTATTAAAAATGTTTATACCGTGCTAAAATAACACAATGGAATTTACTATTACAATGCATGTCCAAGCATATTTTTGTGTAAAAACCACTAGCACCTTGATGAACTTTCCTAAAACTAAGTTTCCACAATTATAAGTTCATAATGCACAACTATCAACATGCACCCATACACTACTACAGGGGTGGGGAATGTACGGCCCACGGGCCTTGTAAGGCCCACAAGATCATTTTGTCCAGCCCGTGGAGAGCTGGCCCTGCTGTCTGCCTCCTGGCAGTTTGTTAATAGAGACTGAGGGAGCCATGACCCGGGAGATTGCCGGATAGGAGCAGTACCTGGGAGGTTGTTAACCTCCCGCGAACAGGCAAGTCAGAGCGTTGCCGCACATTACCATGGCAATGCTCTGACCGCGCTGTGCTCGCGGGAAGAAAAGAGTGAAGTCAGCCTGCAGCTGGAGGAGCTGCAGACTACAGTGCACGTGAGACCACAGGACCTTGCACACACACAGCATCCCTTGCACAAACACACAGCACCCCCCACATACAGTACCTCTCGCACAAACACACAGCACCCCTCGCACACACACACGCACACACACACACAATGAACCTCTCACACAAACACACTGAATGAGGTGTACAGTGTGTTTGCCTGAAGGGTTTAGTGTGTGGGGGGGTGCAGTGTGTTTGTGTGAGGGGGTGTAGTGTTTAAGGGGGTGTAGTGTGTTTGTGTGAGGGGTTATGTGTGTGTGTGGGATGCAAACACACTACACCACCTCACACACATTACACCACCTCACACAAACACTGAACCCCTCACACACACTACACCACCTCACACAAACAATACACCCCCTTTACACACATACTGCACTCCCTCACACACACACACTACCACACACAGAACCCCTCTCACAAACACTGCACCCCCCCACACACAGCACCCCCTCACACACACACACTGCACCCCTCACACACATACACACACACACACACACACACTCACAAGGAGCAACATCATCAATACTAGCTAACATCACACCAAAAAGAAGCAGTTCCAGCCATCACATTAGGAGTGAGTTAATTAAATGTTTAAATGTTTGATCAAATACAGCAGGCTAATTTTTAAGTTGATAATTTTGTATGACCCGCGAATGATGTTTTAAATATCCAAATGGCCCTTGGCAAATAAAAGCTTCCCCACCCCTGCACTACTAGATATTGTAGGTACTATTCGGGTTATTTGAAGCCGGGCAGCTGTAAATGAATTTGCCAAAGCTGGAAGAAGTAGATTGTGTACACCCTATGGGGTTTATTTAATAAATACTTAATTGTATGGATTTAAAACCAAATTGTAAAATGTGGGCTACAATAGCCAAGTTGAACACTTTTTCGAAATAAACTTTTTTTGCCATACTTTTGTAATTCAGTTTTCAACTATGTAACAGTGAATGATTTGTAAATAGTAGGTCCCCTGCAGTATCGTCTTGCAGTAATGATAGATTTATTTACATTTATATTGCCTTGAGTCCCAATTAATTTCCAGTCTGATAAATGACAAAACAGAAATGTAAATGGATATAAGGAAAATGAATTAATTACTGGTGCCAACTGCTGATCCTTAGATTTAATTTTATTACTTGAAAGTCAACAATTGTCACAGACACACACACACGCACACTTGTGGTGTTTTCTTACAGAATATTGGTAAACAACTGCATACCTATTTTTTTAAAAATTTATATGAGCATCAAATCACTAAACAATCTCTCTGAAGGCATAATTTAACAATGTAAATTGTCAGTGAGACAATTTAAAAGCCTATGGCACCATGATACCATGTGATAAGTTACAATGGTGAGATTTGGGTCCAAAGATAAAAAAGATCCAATGGAACAATAATGAACAAATAGATTTCTTCAACATGTAACTTCTATATGTCACGCTACATTTAATACAAGGAAAAGTGTTTTCTTTTCTCATGAGACTGGCCCTTTAACACTTCGAATCACTCCAGTTAAAACTTATATTTCACAAGCCTATCAACTGTAGTATAGCATAAATCAAACTGTACTCAAACTCACTGTCTCAGCAATCAATAGAAGCAAACTGTATACGAAAATACTGAATCATTAGTTCCATTTTGGAGCTCTTGTAAAATCCCAGTTGGAATTGTAATATGCGAAAAGAAAGAACAAGAAGAGAGAAGCGAGATAAAGAAACACGAGGAATCCATTTGTGTAACATTAGAAAGCACTGAACGAAGGGGGGAAAAAAATGTCCCACTAGACAAATACGCAAAAAAAAAAAAAGTCAACAAAAAAAACAATAGAAAAACAAAATACTGGCATTAAGCAGTATTAGACGAACACAAAAAATAATCAGTGTACTAAACAAAAGCAGGCATTTCATAAAGCAGAACACCCTGAGGTTTAGATGTCTTCAAAGTGTGGTTTGGGGTGAAAATATTCCAGTGAAAGATAGTCACGAGGCAGCATGGAGACTGGAGACCAACGGTGATCACACACACATTTTGTTCAGTAGGTAAAGACTCATAGTTTGCAGACTAATTTATTGCCCCTTCATCTAAGGCAGAGCGTTCATACTTATTAAAACTAAAAATGCCTTCACTTTTTTTCACCGTATGCTGTTTTACTGTCAATATTTTAAAGGAATATATATACTCTAAGGCACGAATGAATTATTAAATACTAACATTGTGGTGGAATGTAAGCCAGATAATGAAAATCTCTTTTTTGTATTTCTTAACCCCTGCAAAAAAGAACTATTATCACTGGGCAGATTGGATGCATTGGTGGCTATTGTATCTGTTTAATTATATTTTACTAAAACAAGTGCTTAATATTGTAAGAAAATAGAATAAAAGAGCAGTAAATAAACTATCCCAGACAGAAATCAAACAGCATTGAATAAAAACTAACAACTGAACAGACAATAAAATGTTAGTGATGTTGAGCCTGGTATCAGTTTTGGACCACCAACATATGCACATCACATTGTGATGTGAGGGATTAGTAAAGGAATTGCTTTCCTTTAGTAGATGTCACTACTTAAAAAGTCACTTGAGGCCAGGGGTGTAACTAGGAATTACAAGGCCCCAGTGCCCTCTCATCGCCCCCCTTTTTGCTCCCTACCTGTCAGGATACATTAATATGCCCAACATGAAGAACTTAAGTAACAAATAAAGAAAACTCTAAGACGTATTACCGGGCCTTAGATCGGCCGGATTTAACGTAAAAAGGAAAAACACAAGATAGACTAATGTCAAGAATACAGATATAGTGTAAATGGTATGTAAGTCAAAGGTCAAGGAATATAGACGTCAGAATAGTCAGGGGCCAAGCCAAAGGTCAACAAATATAGAGATCAGAATAGTCAGTAAGAAAGCCAAGGTCAAAATACACAAGAAACAATACCAGAAACTCGCTGTCGGATAACCTGAATGGAAACTACGACAGGACACAGGGAAATGGACAAAAAAAGGTTTAAATAACATGAGGTGCTCCTTGATTGGCTGCAGGAAAGCACGTGACAGTGAACGTGTGTGTGTGGCGTCACACACACGTTCCAAATGGTTAGGCACTAGAAGGGTTAATTATGAACCTTAAAAGTTTCGAACTTGCAGCGGCCGGCATCTCTAATGCTTACAGACCTGGCCGCTGTGTAAGGGGAGGAGTGACTGCCAGTGAGGCCGGGGTGCGTCGCAGGAGGAGGTGCATAATTGGCAACATTCCCATTGCCATGTGGGAATGCCTCCGCAACAGGATGCGCCCGCCAGGTCCCAGTCCACTCTCGGGCAGGAGTGGACCCAGTGGACGCCTTCACATAAGATGAGTATTTGGCGGCATTCCACTTGCTATGTGGGAATGCCACTGCAATGATACATGCCTGCCGGGACCCATACCGCTCTCTGGCAGAAGCGGACCCGGCAGGCACCGTGACACTACCTTTAAGGTTGATTCTCTCCCTGAGGTCTAGTTGAGTTGCTCTGATCTATGTGCTACTTCTGCACAGCTGTACTTAGTGCACCTTTTAGGATACCTGGACTGGAGTGACATCTTATTCAAGCTCTTGGCATTACAACATTGGGTGTAATTAAGCTTTGCAGCCATAGCAAAAATAGAATAGAGTTCCCTTCCCAAATTTTGTAGGTGTTTCCTCTTTTTAAAATATTGCTAATTTTGATATTTTGCAAACCAACATGTTTGTTGAGTGCTTAAAGGAACTTCATCTCAAATCATTTTATGGCGACTGAGGTTTTTGGGCCATGTCTTACCTTATGGGTTAAAACATTGTCAAATAGTTTAATCTAAAATTATCCTCTCAGCATCTTTTTAAAGATATAGATAGACTAAGGCTGACTTTTTTTAAGATAAGCTTTATCTTGTTTACTTATCCCCTTTAGTAACATTTGGAAAACATGACTCTGAAACAGGAATCAAAAAGTGAGAGAAACGGATAAAAAAATCCAAATAAAATATAGAGATAAAGATTTAAGCGTGCACCTGTTTGGTGTCCAAAACCAATCATTTTAGTCATTGATTGTTATCCATCAATATTGGCAGAACTTCTTTAAAATCCATCACTGACTAAAATGACCATAAAGATAACATTGTTAAATGGACAGCAAATAAAGTAGGGAACTTATAACTTGTTCTTCATCTTATTATATATGTATTACACTTAAAAAAGTGGTTTTTCTTTGGCATAAGAATTTTAATGATCTCCCACTTTGCTCCGTGTTCTATAGTTGATGAATAGAGATGGCAACCCTTTTCACACAAACATCTAACACTTCTATTTCTGCTGTGTTATAACATGAGCAGTCTCTGTTTATGTTAAATAAATCAGCAGCATCTTAAAGGGACACTCCTGACTCATAAAGAACTATAGCTTGATGAAAGGCTTTACGCGAGAAGAATGTGTTTTCTTTTTTCATTTTGAAAATAGTGCAGGTTTCAACAGAAACTGACACTTTCACAAATTAAAATAGTTACACCCACCTTGACTTCCAAACAGGCAGCATTTCCTGGTACTTCTTGGTTTAGTAAGCTCAGTGGAGCTATTTTGCAATAGCATTCAGTGGACTTCTGAGAGTCCCAGTTGTTTGTATACTTACATTTTATGGCAAGACAGGAGGCTTCCTTTACCTGCTTTACTGAAACCTCCAGCAGCAAAGAAATAGTTAACATAACCTTTCAGAAACAACCAGTCAGAACAAGAGAACAGTAGAACAAAATTCTAAGGCAGACCCTCCCACCTCCTCTTTCTTTGCTGCAGCCTCCAGGTGAGAGAGTGTGTCTGCTCAGGGCTGTTTATTGCTTTATTGTTCATGTATTGCTTTATGCTGCATGTTTGCTTTTAGTTAGTATGTTTGGTAATTTATTCCATCTAGTTTTGTGTGGGGCTCTTGGGCTGTGTGCGTGATGAGCATTCCCTAACTCAGAGAGTGTGTCTGCTCAGGGTTGTGTTTATTACTCTATTTTTCATATTGTAATATATGCTGCATTTTGCCTTGCTGTCTGCTGTATTTAGTCTACTATATTTGGTTGTTTATCCACCATCTAGTTTTGTGTGGGGCCAGGGCCGGACTGGGAAAAAAATTAGGCCCAGGCATTTTTCAATTAGAGCGGCCCCGCAAAAAGGGGGCGGGCCAGAGAAAGTGAGCATGTTGGTTCAATGCGCAGAGCCCCGCTGAAGAGCTCTAGCATTAAAAAAAGGCCCTGTATTTGTTCTGCGCAGCGCAAGCAAATGTAATAACATGCTTGCGCTGTGTTTGCTTTTAAATTGTCTCTGGTGTCTCCACAAGTGGGATACCAGAGGACAAAAGGGCCAGGAAAGTGTATGTTGCATGTGTTTGGCGCATGCTTGTGGGATTGCCTGTGTGTAGAGTGTGGTGTGGTATTGTGTAAATAGGTCAATTTTGTGGTGTAA